ATGATTTTGTTTCGGTAGATGTATGAGTTTATCTTGGTAGATGTATGATTTTGTTCCGATAGATGTATGATTTTGTCTTGGTAGTTGTATGTTTTTGTTTAGGTATATGTATGATTTAGTTTTGGTAGATGTATGAGTTTATCTTGGTAGATGTATGATTTTGTTTCGGTAGATGTATGAGTTTATCTTGGTAGATGTATGATTTTGTTCCGATAGATGTATGATTTTGTCTTGGTAGTTGTATGTTTTTGTTTAGGTATATGTATGATTTTGTTTTGGTAGATGTATGAGTTTATCTTGGTAGATGTATGATTTTGTTCCGATAGATGTATGATTATGTCTTGGTAGATGTATGATTTTGTTCCGGTAGATGTATGAGTTTATCTTGGTATATGTATGAGTTTATCTTGGTAGATGTATGATTTGGTTTCGGTAATACAGCAGAGTGGTAATCCGTTTCGGGGTTATCAACTAAAAAGTGTAATGACTTCACGCATTTATATGGCATTGCCTTGAAACGTTAATTAATTTAACCTATCGGTCCATCGATGAACATTAAAACAAATGCCCAGAACTTGAAAATTAATTATATTATGCATTATATTAATGGCTGCCTGCGATGTTAACCATAGGAACATGATAATTAATTAACAACTGGAGCATTATAATACAGTTTATAGGTTAGATCAACACTCGGTAAACATGCCATAGCTGGCCCACGAATCATGCGACGTTCTTAAGTCTAAAACTTTCGTGAATTTTGTCTTAGCCAATCACTTATAACGTCATGAAAAGTGACGTTATGCGTCGTGATTGGACAACCAAAAGTCTAAGATTGATTAATGATCCCGGGTCCTGGTGTCCTTGTGTCCTTGGGTCTTTTGGCGAATACTCAAATACTGTCAATACGTGAAAATTTACACTGTAAACCGAAGCGGTTTCAAGCTTTTATTGAACTGAGGCTCCACTCCCGCCAACGCTCTTCATGGTGAAGATAATGACTTGCTAATTGATACTCGCTATAATTTCTTGTAATGATTACTCTGTGATTTTCATCATATCGTCACGTTTTCCGGTGAAGCCATATCTCAGAAAGTGCAATTTCATTATTTTTAAAAATTGCGTTTATAAGTGAGTTATGTTTGCCAGGTCGTCATTCAAGCCTAATATCATCTTTTCCGTGTTTGTTCCTGAATGACTATAAATTTAAATATCCGCGATGAATATGTTATATTTCCGGATTAATAATTTGGCAGAGTATTGCCCTGATAAACGACGGAAATTACTATATCATAGAAGCTGGATGATGGCCTTACTCCCGCCATCATTGTAGGCTTGCCGTCCATGGTCGAGAGCAAGGATGATAAAGACTTCTATGCATGCTGCAATTACTTGTCAAAATTGCTCCCTAATATGTTTTCAATTATGTTGTCACATTTTCAAATAAATCCATCGCTCAAAAAGAGGTATGGCTATTATCCAAGTTCAAAATAACCAATCAAAAGTGGGCTTTTGAAACCATGTAAGTTATTAGATATATGAAATTGGTTGTTGATATTTTTAGATTTATTGAGTTTCATTTTTGTATATCATTTTGTACATGATAATCTGTCAGCCAAATTGTAGAATCGATATCAGTCATGGCTACAGTCAATGGTTGAGGGCACAATTTGCCGAGGAATAATGTAAAAGCTGAAATAATTCGTTTTCATTTTTCTTTGATATTTTTTGATCTTTGTTAATTGCTTTGTTTTAAGATTCAATCAATAGATCCATAGCTTAAGAGCAAATATTTAATTAACCTAAAAGTTGTCGAAGAAAATTTTAATGACCGCATGATAGCCGAACGAACGTACATTCCTTTGATCCAAAGTTTGTTTTCAAGTCTTAATTATCGATGTTATGTTGTAATTTGTTGCTATCAATGATCAATTATTTTGAAAGTACATGTGTGTTCATTAAACTTTAAATACCAACAAAAAAATCATGCTTCCTAGTTTGTCCTCGATGATTTTGGTTTAGGAACAGAAATTCAACTACCCTGAAAGTTGTCGAAGAAAATTTTAATGACCGCATTAATAGCCCAACGATCGTACATTCCTTTGATCCAGAGATTGTTTTCAAGTCTTAATTATCGATGATATGTTATAATCTGTTCCTGTCAATGATAAATTATTTTGAAAAAAGATGTGCGTTCATTTAAGGAATGAAATGTATTTTTCAACATTCATGAGGTCATAACAACATTGGCTTTCTAGACACATGTTAAATATGTCAAGAAAGCCAATGATGTTATGACCACATGAATGTTGTTAAAATAAATGTCATTCCTTAAATTAACATTTTTAAGTTCTTTGAATTTTCCGATGTAAGCATAAAAAAGAGTATTTTTTCTCCGCTTATACATTTGGGCAACGCATTAGAGAGAACAGCGTTTTTTCGCGGGAAAATGTAAAACTTTTGTCGGGGGTCTTAGCAACAGCGTCACAACAAAACCAATAAAATATAGTTAAATTTTAGAATTTATACAAGTTGTTTATTAATATCACATTCTTTACACACATTATTTTAGCTTAAAAATCAAGCCAATCATGTTTAATGTTAAATCATATAAGAATAACAAAGTTACATGAAGGGCTGTTTCACGGCGGACGTGAACCAAGTACGTCATGTGCTACGTCAATACGCAGTGATGACGTCACCTGTGGTATGCATTTTTGTCAATGGGTCAAAGCTTACAGAATGTAAATATCAAACTTTAAATATCAACAAAAAGCCATGCTTCCTAGTCTGTCCTCGATGATTTTGATTTAGTAATCTCTCAGAGCGTGGTGTTACGAAGGTGTCGTGTAATCGCTGAGCATCTAGATAACCAGCGGAGTGTAATGATGATGTAAGAGAGCACGCAAGCGCAGTAGGGGAAATATCTACATTTGCTCTGCATCCTTCCATTGTAATGCATTTCGAAGGCAAAAGTTGTTATGAAACTATAACAATATTTGATATTGTAACGTCATCAAACTCGATTGTGACGTCATCAAATTCATAGTTTCCAACACTTGATTTGCTGTTCAAAAACTGTTCGAAATAACTCAATAAAGCATAAGTACTCTATCAAAATGTAAATATTAATAATGAACATTTTAGCAAATATTGTTATGGTCCTTAAGCAATATTTGCTAAAACATCCATTGCTTAAATAAACTGTACATGTATCTGTTATTCCGTCTTTGCGTATTGCAGAGTTATCTTCTCTTGGGAGCAGGTATTGATTGTTACGTCACTTGTTTGTGAGAGTAACGTCATCAATTTCTGAGAAAACGACGTAATTTTCTCACACAACCCAATGACGTAACGATCAATACCTGCTCCCAAGGGAAGATAACTATGCAATACGCAAAGACGGAATAGTGATGGTCACAGACTGTCATACTTCTGAGTGCAAATACAAGAAGCAAACATTTCATATAAAAAACACGGCAGTTCTGCCAATCCATCGATCGAAACCTTGCATAGACGAAAGACGAAAAGGGTGATGATTCGATGAAATTCACAGTAGGATCACTATTATCTCAATTTATAACACTTTTCTGGGTTTTTACTTCTAATATATTTCTTCATATCTCTAGTTACCAAGAGGTTATCCATGGATCCTGTGTGATCTTATCTTGTTTATCCGTCACTATGGGTTGAGAAGCGTCATTCATTTTTCCAAAATCAGATTTAATAATACGATAAAGACACGCCATATTGAGGCTGTTATTATACAGACATCTGTGAGCATGCAGGTTAGGTACTTAAATCAGAAATTTGTCAACACTAAAGAGATTATTTGATCATTCTTAAGTTGGAACATGACATTATATTGGTCATTCAGCATACTTTGCGATGGTATAACTACGGACTACCGTCCGCTTATTTCTCATATGAGACTAAAATGTCAATAACGAACAATGACGTGAGTCCATGTAATCCGCCTTAATTTGAACGCTACTGACGCTACCAATCTAGGGGAGAGTGACCAATTTTTTATGAAAAAATACTCTACAACTATCTTCATTTCTTTCAGCTGACTTAAATTAGTATTGGGAGAACCCTGATATATTTTGTTATATCATGATTATACCCACGTGTCGCCAATAAAACTCATTTGGGAGTGCATAATAACGCTTTCGCTCATTCGTATCTACACAGAGGGTAACTTGTACACATCTCTATTTTTAAATCACTATATTTAAATTTATTTAGTATTTTAGTACATACCCCCTTTAGGCGTGTCATACATGGATTATTTTAGTACATACTCGCTTTAGACTTGTAGTACAGGGATTAGTTTAGTACATTCCCTCTTTAAGCTTGTCATACATGGATTATTTTAGTACATAACCGATATAGGCTTGTCTTACAGGGATTATTTTAGTTCTTACATGTACCCGCTTTAGGCTTGTCGTACAGGGATTATTTTAGTACAACCCTCTTTAGGCTTGTCGTACAGGGATTGTTTTAGTACATAACCGCTTTAGGCTTGTCGTACAGGGATTGTTTTAGTACATAACCGCTTTAGTGAGAGAGTAATTCTTAGAATAACAGTCTAGTTCAAAGTATGATGATTTAAAAAAGCTGATTTCCGTTATGTATAAATTGTTGTGTCTGTTTGGCTATTAAGATGTTTTCTTGATATGACAATTCGTATAGTAGTAGCTGCAAGTCAAGTGGAATGCAATCATTCAATTCGCGGTAGAGTTTAATTCTCTGATCCGCATAATTATTGCAAGTAAAAAAAACCTGATATGTATCTTCGATAGGATGTCCACATTGACAGTGCTGAAAATCTATGAATTTAGCATGAAATAAGTGATTGTTTAAGGTACTAGAGTTATTTCTCAATTTGGTGTGTAAAATATTACTTTTTCGATCACCAATGAGATAACATATAGGGACTTGTATTGTATTTATTGGCCTGCGAAGATTATCTTTGAAAACTGAGTTTCAGTACTTACCCGCTTTAGGCTTGTCATACAGGATATGTTTGAGACATTCGATGTGATACCGGTCAATCTCACGTTGTTGGTCATCTTCACCAATGAAAACCCTGCCCTGCAACGGGAACAAAAATCCGGTCACTTTTTTCTTTACATAGAACGAAAATAAAAATGAAAAAAAAAACATAAAAAAGTAGCGTACAGCTGAAATCGCGATAAGCGCTCCAACCAAATTAATACATAATTTAACTATTATTGATTAAATAAATCTAATGGTGTCTTCAGTAATAACAAATATATTTCACGACTATGGCTTATATTTTGATATATTTGCCACACAAGTAAAACATATTTGTTATTACTGAAAACACCATAAATTAAAACATGAAAAATGTAATGCATTAAAAAAGGCGGAAATCAGAAGCGTAATAATTAGCGCCATATTCAAATGACTATACGCTTGACTACAAGGTTGCGCGCCATTTTGAATGGGATACTTAACGTAATTCCGACGTTTTCTGCTATTTTTTGGTATGATTGTTTATAAAAATGTTATAAATTGTATATAATTATTCAAATACTTAAGTTTGTATACCAAACATTTGCCATAACAACCACTTATTCTACCGTCGCTTCATTTGAATCTGAACAAAACATTGTTACCTTTGAATACAGCGAATAGAAGATACCGTTATGATTGGTCAATACCAAAAAGAGATATTTTTATACTGTGAAAATATCACATTTGATATCTTAATTGATAGAATCCGATATTTCACTGGCAAAAATGTAATAAATACAGTTTTTTAACGATTTCTGAATTAATACGTAGATCAAAATATCGGGAAATAGTATAGTGATTAACTAAAGCAGGAATATAGATGAGTTTCTCGGTACAGTAAAGCATGTGGCCTAGACCTTTATTATTGTTAACTACATGGTGCTGACCATTGTTTATTGAAAGCCCATATTTCTGGTCGTACAGATGCAGTTCTAAGAGAGTGTGTTTGACCTCTGTTTACTGATATGAAGTTTGGGGGTAATCAAACTGTCTGTGTATACCGACTGATAGGGTGCACTAACTTTACTCTGAATATCGTTTTCGGTTCAAGTTATATACAAGCAGAGGAATGTTTATATTGGAAACAACGCGGTCAGGGTTTGTTGTGTTTCTAGATCACGTGGCGAAAAAAGTGCAGCGATGTCTTACAATGAATCTTTCATTTTCCAAAAACGAGTTCGAAATATAAATTTTTTAAAAACCTTATGAATGCCAGTTATCACATATCACACGTGAAGGCAATGGATTTTGAAGTCGAACACCTTCATAAGGACATTACAAGACACTCCAAGACGACTTTCTATGGTAAACGTGAATACGTCAAATCGTTGTCATTCACAGTAGCAACGTTCCATATTTGCACGTCTCTATGTGTATCAGAATGTTTTGACATATTTATTCTGCTGACTATTATATTTCACGTAACAAGGGTTTTCTATTAAAGATGTTTCAATCTACTCTAAAGCAATTTGGAGTTTTTCTTCATGGCCTGGGTCCAATTCCAATTAATGACATGTTTGCTATATGTTAGAGCGGTTTGAATCGATTATATTTTGTTTATTTTACAACAATTATGAAACATGTAATTTCAACTTATATTAGTCACTCTTATTGGCCCGGATGTTAGCGCGCGGGGGTCCTATTGTGGGAGGAATCCAAAGTAATCGGACAAAACCCACGTGATCGGGCAGGTGACCCCCTTACCTGTTCACGTCCGATCGGGGAATCGAACCCCGGTCGCCTTGGATCGATTACTTTTGTACTTTACGGTATGACTGGTGCCCCTAACGGTACAACAATGAGTTCTTAGTACCTTTCTGAGACACCTAGATTCGCCTTACGTGTATTTCGGATGCTCAAAGGATTTTTTAGCGTCTCTTTAGTTCTAGGTTTTTACCCTTCTTACTTTAGCAATTTATCTAACGATAATCAACAAGGAACAAAAGGAAAACGAAGTGCATATTATCTAAGGATATTGATCCCTTTTGTACCAATAATCAATATTTAAGTATAATTTTATATATAAAAATTAACAGCTATGTTTTTAGTTTTGTCATTATACAATGTACATGTAATAGCAAGAGGTTATTTGAAATGATTACAAAAATATGCATCAATAACACGTTTGGGTGTTCAGCTTTGCCATTGGCTGGAAGGTGTTACAAACCCGGTGGATATAAAATGTACTTACGAGGAGATGGTTACCAACAGAATCATGTTTAACTAAGAGATATATCAATGTAGCCTGTTTGTTTAACACTTTCGTCCTGTTCTACTCGTCGTGTCTCGGACTTATCTTGTCAAATGGCGTACTCAAAAGTTGCAATGCTGTGTTGAGTACTACTGTCTTATCAATTAGGCATTTCTTAACTGAATAAAAGAAGGATAATTGCCCTAACATAAGTGGAATTGGTGTATTTAGATTCCTCTCCGCACAGGCGATGTGATATACATTAACGACAGGTATTGGCGATAATACGTACTGACATGTCTATCAACGCTGGCCTTTTATCATTTCTGACCGTATCTTAGCGCGACCCGAGCGATTGTCTGGACAGCGGTCAACCCGATACAAGCGAATATGATCCGCCATCCACACATCCTGATGACTGAGAGCTAAATGGAACAATCTCATATTAATGTGAGACAGTGACACGTGTTTGGCGGCTGTAGACGAGTGTTTGATGACATCTGTTTCCGTCAGGGTTACTTCCAAATGGGGAAATTGACCGATATTGTTATAAGTAACCTAGCAGCATTGTGGTCATCATTTTTTCCTCTTTTGCATAAAATATAATATGGAGACAACACAATTAATGGAATCGTCCCCTCCTTTGAGGTTGTGACAGGGAAATCTCCTACCCGAGGGTTGATGTATTTTGGTTGTCTAACCCGAGGCTCCGCCGAGGGTAAGACAACTAAAAATATCACCCCGAGGGTTGGAGATGTCTTTGTTACACCCTCAAGGTAGGGGATGTTTAGTTTTCTCCCATTCAATTATTTTAGTCACAACTCCACCGACAGTAGTCTGCCATGTTTGTAAGCAAAAACACATGTGGGCTATGAATATCGTTATTCACTTGTGATGACGTCACAATTACCGGTGACACATTTTAATGACGTCAAAATGGAACACGTGCTAATCGGCACGAGCCTATCTCCCCCTAGGGGGTGACTCTATTATTCGTGTTCCCGCTGCCTTTAAAATTGAAACAATGCCCTGTGCATGTAAAACGATTTTACTTTAATTTAGACAGGTTTATGGGTCGGGTTTACGTGTGTGTCTTTTAATAAATTAAATGCATTTTGAATAAAGTAATTATCAAATCCAAATATTCTGATTACCCGATTCTATAGTATGACGGGCGAAAGATTTTTCAATGAAAATATTAGCGTTGTGGCGAATTCAACCTAATTGTACATTTGATAATAATCTTAACACCAATTTTTGATATTCTTAACACTAATATTTGATATTCTTAACCCTAATATTTAATATTCTGAAGTTATTCACTGAAGTTTAACAATATAAGTAGTATCTTAAAAACCATTGAATGTAGTGTTATAGGAGTTTTATGTAATGAAAAAAACACCATTAAATGTAAAAATATATAACTCTCATTACAGAATATAATAAATATTTTCTGAAAAACTTTTACTTAAATTTATGTGCATAAATCCACGCGCATGTATTTGTACGTATACTTTTATATGTTTTACTGTAAAACCTCTCCACTAATACTGTAACACCTTGTTATACTATATAAGAAATATTCACCGCAAAAGTAATTAATATAGTTCAGTTTATATCTGTTAAATGGGTCATGCTTTCTAGTATCATCAAGCAGTTTATTCATTACGGTTCGAAGTAGCTAATGATGACACAGATGTTCGAAGAGTGCCAACAGGAAGCAAACGACGGGCCATTTTTTAATATCAAACACAAATGTTTCGCTAATGGACAACAAAAACAACTGACATCCTACAAATTCAGGAAGAACATTGAGAGTATCTGAGGCCTGACTTGATAACATTCCAGTTCCATACACAGATGCCGGAAAGTGTATTGTAAGCACTGTATCCTGTCAGATCCCTAATGATTCATCTGTAAGTCGTTTTTGTGGAAGTTCTCCGCATTTTTATAACAGGTTACAATACTTGGGGTCCGCAAGTGCATCTTGATGACTATCAGAATTAAGCACAGCGTGATAAGGTACACATAATTGGCCAAATGACAGAATTATGGTAAAGCTAGCTCTTATCGATGATTTAGTGAGACAGTCCATCGAGCATTACAGCTGTGTCCCCTGATAAGCCCACTCCCGTTCGACAGACTCAAATTTGATTTAAGATATATATATACATATATATGGGTCACAATGCTGAATGTCCAGGAAAGCTGTTAATCAATCGTTAAAAAGCCATATAACTTTGTATGTGATAACATAACAATTGAAATTACCGTGATTTCCTGACATTTCCATTACCGGATCCATTGATAACTTATTCAATACTCCAAGTTGATATATAACCCGCCCGCAGGTCCTGGGATACATTCAGCCGAATCAACGGGAAGTACAATGTACTTGTATATGTATATGTCATGGTACGAAAAATGACCGCAGTTATCTTCCCTTGCCTCTTCTGTATTGTCAATATCCATTCCCCCCTCGTTGTCTTTCCTGCAATTATTTGTATTCATTTGTCCTCTTGTGAACAAAGTATAATAGTACAGTGATGCATTAGCTGTTTACATGTCTTCAATCATCCGTAATGGACTGTCATCACGAGTTTCGGTTATTACTGGTCAAACCAAAGACAATAGGTAAACGCTTGGTGTAAAGGCACGAAAAAACGGAATACAGATAGAAACGAAAAGACTCCCAAACTGGGTCACACTTCCTGCACATTCGGGTACCATTCTGTCTGAATGATTTGTAGAATCCAAAATTCTTATCACAAGGAAAAAGCGTAATGCTAGGACCGAACGCAATCATGGCTGTTTTTTTTTACACATAAAACAAAAGTTTAAACCGACTTTCTATCAACTTAGT